AAAAAATATTAAAAAAGGATTTTTTACACGGCACCCCTGCTCTCGACAGACGGCACCCCAGGGTGCCGTGGCACCCCGGTTGGGAAACACTGTAGTAGACTACAATGCCGGCTGTTCTGACTCACAGACTGTAAGTAAGTTTTTTTATATTAAAGAATTTGCCACTGATGATTTAAACGCGAGTTTTGAGCAGTGTAGAGTAGCGTTTGTAGTTTGTCATTTCTCCGATCACAAATGCAGACATGGTTTTATGTTTACGCGGCATGAAGCTACGCGTAAAAAGACAGCATATGTCATTATAATCCGTAATTGTGTCCCCACCGGATGCAACAAATGCCTCGTTTATAATGGATTTTAATTTTTTTGTCTCGTCGCTCCGGCCGGACAGGGCATCACAATATGGTAAGGGGCGTAACATTTCCATCACACGCTTGATGTATTCGGCCAATCACAACGCACTGGATAGCTGGCCAATCAGAGCACACCTCGCTTTTCAGACCAATGAGCTTTGTAAAAATTGACGCGTTTCAGAAAGTCTGGCCATAGAGGAGAAACACTAATGTACAGTATGTGGAAAATAATTATGTTTTTTGAACCTTTAACCGCATAAACTCATTTCATTACACCAAATACACAAAATAATGTTCTTTTTAGCAACATCATATGATCCCTTTAATACCTTTATGAGCAGTCATGTCAATGGCAAAAAGTGTCCCGAAAGACCTGAATTTACCCTATTCACACATCTTTACTAATCATTTATTAATCATTTGTTCATGATTTTACAGTAGCCAATCTAAAGTTGAAACTATTCATCATTTGTAAATGTTTATAAACGATTACTTATAATTTAGTATCTTTATGGTCATTGGACTTTTAGCAAATGAAACAAGGTTTCTGTAAAGGGTGGCTGGTTAAGTTTAGCTAAATGCTTGCTAAGGACATAACAGTTTGTAATTTTGGTGCAAAAAAATGTTGTATTGCCTCAACACTCACATTAGTATTCTACTCTTCAATATAAACAGGATATTCCTTGAATCATAAATAAACAGGGGGGAAAAAAAGAATAAAAAAAAAAGAAAATACTTGTTCATTTATGAAAACAATATAATATAAACAGATTGAATCGTGTTCCCTAATAGCAATCAAATTGACCCCTGTACACTGTTGCCTCTTTAACCAACCCTTAAACCTACCCATACCACCAAACCTGTCCTTAACCTTACCTGTATCACACCTCAACAGCAGCAAAAGTGTTGTGAATTAACACAAGCTTTTAATCATTTTATAACCTGTTAAAATCATTTGTAGATTTTCAATAAGTGCTTGATCATATGGAAATGAAAGTTTAAAGACATTTGTAAGCATTTGAACTTACATGAAATAATGATTTGTTTGAACATTATCTAATGTTCAATAAGTGTATTAGCAAACATTAACAAACACATTATCTCACGTTTCTAACTCTTTGAACATATATTAACTAATGATCCATTAAGCATTATATAATGAAAGTTTTATATTCATTATATTACATTATATTAATGTAATATTAATTATATTACATTATACATTGTATTAATGAAAGTTATTATAAAGTGTTACAGAAAAAATAAACATATTGATACTTCTTATGGTTCATTTGTTGTACAGCAAACATTCATTTTCTTTTTTTCTTTTTTTTTCCCAGTACAAATATCTAAACATTCTTAAATCTACATATATTTACTTGAGATGCAAAATAAATTCAGCAAAGTTAAGTGAGGTTTATGCTAAAAACAAGGAAAAAATATGGGGTAAGAAATATAAACTTAATTCAAACATTTTTCTTACCCCATTGGTTTTATTTTATTTTATTTATTTTATTTTATTTTATTTTATTTTATTTTATTTTATTTTATTTTATTTTATTTTATTTTTATTTTATTAGATAGATAGATAGATAGATAGATAGATAGATAGATAGATAGATAGATAGATAGATAGATAGATAGATAGATAGATAGATAGATAGATAGATAGATAGATAGATTTAATTCTTGCTTTCAAAATTTGGCTTTTAAAAACCGTGGCCACATTTACCTGACAGACTTTACACCAGACGCTAACACCCGGCAAAACCTCAACCATCTTTAATCTTCAAAGTTTATGACAACTTTATCACCTCTTCCAGATCACAGAGCATTCCAGAAGACATCTGACACCGCGTCTTCAACCGGCGCAACACGCCACATTTTCACCATTTTTCTGTCACTTCTAGCAAATGTTGGTATGTTTTTGTCCATTTACAGGTATATTGTTACTTTTAACTTCATTTGATCCTTTAATAAGTTCAGTTAAATAGTTCATATTAGCTGAAATGAAAGTTAAATTAAGTTAAATTGGATGTTTCCTTGCATGTGCATGTCAAGACCCAGGTATATGTAATATCATTCGAAGGGAAATACTTTACCAATCCAAGAATAATTAATGTTCAATATGAAAAAAAAAAAACAACAACAATATCAGTGGTGATTTATATGTGTGTTGAAAAAAAACAGGTCTTAACCCGGACTACATACATCATGACCCATTTGATCCTTTAATAAGTTCAGTTAAATAGTTCATATTAGCTGAAATGAAAGTTAAATTAAGTTAAATTGGATGTTTCCTTGCATGTGCATGTCAAGAACCAGGTATATGTAAAATCATTCGAAGGGAAATACTTTACCAATCCAAGAATAATTAATGTTCAATATGAAAAAAAAACAACAACAACAATATCAGTGGTGATTTATATGTGTGTTGAAAAAAAACAGGTCTTAACCCGGACTACATGCATCATGACCATCTCTCGGTTGATAAGAAGACCTTGCCTGAGGATGCCAATGAACTCAACAAGGCCGCCATCTGTGCATGTGTGTATTTATGTGTAGAGGCACATGTGGTCCTCAAAGTTGGCCCTCCAACGATTAAGTGTTGTATCTGTTCATTGATCGAGACAGATGGCTGTCAATCAATCTTATCATCTCTCAACACGTTTGGTCCTGAGGGAGCCAATATGGCACTAGCCTTGAGTGAAGGCCAAATCGACCAATCGCAGACCTTGAGACAACAATATGACCATTTGTGTGTCAGTGTCCACATGAAAAGAGAGGGACTAAACACAAACAAAAGAAGAGAAACTGTGTTTATGGGTCTGATTTGCCTACCAGAATAGTACAACCTGAACATATATATTAAATTATAATATAATATTTATAATAGTGGTTGACCAATATGCCATTATCAACAAATTCATAAATGGTCCCATTTGACTTTAGCTACATCCTTGCCTCACTCAACCTAACATCAGCAATCTTCAACACCACATTCTGCTCTCTCTCAATCTCAAACGCATGTACACATCGCCATATTAATCCAGCATAAGTCAACTCAAACTCAAAACCTGCTGCATGGAAATCTTCTCAAATAATCACAAATCTGTGCATCTCACAGCTCAATTCACAGGAAGTTCATTCGTCAAAGCTCTTGCAGAATCTTCTTAAGTTAGAGCTCAGGAAAAAAGACCAGCTTAGTCACTGGGTCACCACAAATGTTGGGTTTCAGAAGCTGTTTCTCACACTTGTCTACTAGCTTAACCAGCAATAAGTCTTTGATCAATCTTCTAACTAGAAAAACATTGCTGGTAAATATAATGACTATGCCATACTGGTCCATGAGGTAAACCAGCTCCAAACCAGAATAAACCTCAAATAAAATGGAAATTCATACAGTTTCAACAAAGAGGAAGTGAGAAAAGCTAAGCAAGACACCAGAGACTATCCTATGTTCTCCGCCAACTGAAAAAGATCCATTTAAAACACCTAAAATAAATTAGTAGTCATAGATAAGTGAACCAACACTATTGGAACCCAGCGTCTTACCTCGACAGACGTTCCCGTTATCCGGCTCGAATCCCGCCTTGCAGGTGCAGCTCCCAATTGGAACCATCCAGTCCCCGTCGCCATTACAGTACAACTTAATCGGCACGTCCACTTCCTCAGAATTCGGGATGCACATCCCGCGAGCAATCACCAGCGAGGTGCTCTCTGCCCCAGTCATGGTCTCTGGAAATATTGCAAAGTTCTGCACCACGCTCAGGCATTTCTTATAAAACACACGGACAGACAGCAGGGACATGCATGCGCCATAGTCCTGAAATGCCAAATAAAAGCCGTTTTTCGACAACGGGCCGAAGCTCCGCACCTCCGTGTTCACTTTCATCAATCTACCACCAAAATCCACTTGCGAGAAGCTCTCGTCTGCCGCAATAGTGTCCACCTTCAAATACGGAGCCTCCATCCAGAACGCCGTACCCTTGGTGGCGATGACAGAGTCTGTCTCGTAGTAGTACAGGTTAAAGGTCTCCTTACAGGATCCAGGCACCCGCGGGATGCTGCTGCAGTCTCGAACGGTGAAACGCATCTCCACGTAGATACGCTGAGCGCCACGTCGTGCAATGAAGGTGGTGAGCAGCCAGTTGTTCTGGTTGGACTCAAAGACGTTGCACACCTGGTACGTTCGGATGGTGTTGAGGTTTTCATCATAGCCGCTTACTTCCTCCCACTGGAATAGAAACACAAAAGGAGGTTTAGCACAGAAGGAACGATGGCAGATGACCATACATTATTAAAATGACATAAGAACGTTACTGAAACTAAAATGGAATAAAAATAAAAGTTATTTGTGGGGAAATGCTTACAATGTAGAACTGGAGTCATCTTATTGCAAAAAAAGAATAAGACTTGTTTTTTTTTGTTGTTGTTGTAAATGACTCAGGGAATGAATATTTTGAGTGAATAATTCAATTACTTATTCACACCACACAAAAGACATCCGTCTCCTTTTACTGGTGTAATGATGTAACATAAAAGAAGGGCCACTGAACAAATCAGTGAATGAATCTGATTGATTCTTTTAGGTGAACTGAATCACATAATTCTTGTCAATTGGTAAATACATTGTACACAGTAATGTTCATTTTAGCACCCAGAGAATTTTCTGTTTTCAGGTCAATGGTGTGAAAAACCCTTTTTTCAACTTAAAATTGCAAGAGGTGCTTGCTGAAGTGGAATAAAGATGAGAAATATCACTGTTGGTCCATTCGATGCTATCGATGTGGAACCATGGCATGAACTCAGACAGGTTTCTGCCTTTCATAAACTATTGATACAAACTGAGTTTCCAGAAACCTCTCCAACCACATATTCCCCACCCAAAAAAACATCTAAAAGCTTTTAAACACTACATCACTTTGAAACTTTTTTTTCCGTCTCTGAGATGATGAAACCTTTATGGCCTCTCTTTCCGAGTTTCAGATCACAAAATCTGTCTCCCTAATCACCTGAGGTGGGCGAGGAAGCCGCTGCCATCTGCTTCGGTCCAGACCAAGTGCGGCCAGCCACTTACCATTATAATATTACCATATTATAAAATGTGATGCGTAACAAATTTGAGATTATGCACTATCGAATTACAATTAGAAGTAAGTGGAGCAGTATATGGCTGCCCTCCTGCAACCCTGGTAAAACAGCACCACTGGCAGATTGTGAAACAAGGCACAGGCAGAAAGAAAGAGAGAGAGAGAGAGATAGAGTGCAGCCATGTTCAGACTGCTGCTGAAGACAGTTCTGCTGATGGTTGTGGACAATACAGTCTAAAAAATTAAAAGTTACAAAAAGGCCTGACAGCTTGATGCATTAAAACAGAGATTTTCAGACTTTTTGATGCCAAAAACAGTATTTATATATATTTAATATATCAGTATATTGTCTGAAAAATACTGATTTTGTGTGATTTACACAATAAAGGTCATTGCAGAGTAGTTTTACAGTTACAATTTTACAGCCTTATAAATATATATTAATGACAATTCAAAAAAAAAAATCTCAAAATAAAAGGGTTCTAGGAGATTTTGCAAAAAAAAAAAAAATGTATGCAAAAATGTAAAATAAAAAAA